ATGACATTTTATGTCCAGTGTGGCTACATCTCAGTGCTTCGCCAACAAACTCACAAGGCTTCCGTTGAGAATCCTGCAAAACCTACAATCCCTGAATCATCACCATCATCAGAGAATTTCCAAGCGAGTGGCGCAGAGCACACTATTCCCTGGGAAATCAGCGTGGGGGGGACACACAGAACAGGGCAGTGCGCACAACTGTATCTGCTAGCGCAGCGGAGGGCGCAGTGCCAAGCGCGTCTGTCACTCCGCCAGGCGCCCCAGGGAAGACACGGAGGAGCCACTGCAGTCTCACTGACAGAGGAAGAGAAAGCGGCCCTCGCTTCGCGATGTAACTGTCTAAACGCCACTAGCTCTACTAAGCCTCCTGGAATTTGATCACGATTTCCTAAAGTAATTAGGATTTCTGTATTCCGTAGTGAACCTACGTGGTTTTGATATTTTATTGATCTGTCTTCAGAAAACTGATTAAAATATGGTTTTTTTTTTGGTTTGTTTTTTTTTTTTTTTGCTCCGAATGCCCTCAGGGGTGGTTTGGCTGGCTGGAGGGTTGTGGGGATCGAACTACAGCAACCTGAGGCTGGAAGCTTTGCCGAAGCAGCCACTTAAACAACTGAGCTAAGGCCAGGCCCCCAAAACTGATTAAAATGTAAGAACAGAGGGCCGGGGAGATGGCTCAGTAGAATAAGCGCTTGCCTGGCGAGTACAAGGGCCTGAGTTCAATCCCTGGTTCCGCCAAAAAGCAAAAACAAAGCAAAACACAAAAACCAATATAAGAACAGAGAGAAACACTCTATCTCTAAAAAGAAACTGTGTGATTACCCGCTAGCTGCAGAAATCATTCCTGTTTTAGAAAACAACAGCTGTCCTGTGGGAGCTGGCATACACTAGATTTTCTAACCAACCCAATATCTGGGGGAGGAAATACCAGTTTAGTAACTGCATTTCCCATGGGAGGAAAACTCACCAGTCACATTCCCAAATAGCTACAAAAGGACAAAATACTTACCAAGGTCTCAGAGAACTGAACATGCTGTCCCTTGCTAAGCACCTGTTCACTTCATAAAGTCAGATTTTCAATGAAAATAAATTGTTTCATTCAATGTTAAAAATGCTTAACTATGTTCTGCAGTTTGTAGCAATGTTCTTTTAATGTAAAACTTAACTATGAAGCAATTATTTAAGTCATTCCCTCCCAGTATGCAGTTCAGAGGAAAGCACGTGCATTCTTAGTGCTTTTGCAGGAGTCACGTTTCTAAAATTAAAAAGTGCAAAGACTTCTTTTAGCCTACAGAACTCATTGCTTCTGAGGTGGCACATCACAATATGGCTCATTTTCTATAAGAAGATCTTTCCTAGGGACCAATTCTAAAAGAAAAAGAGAGAATATAATCATTAAAGTTAGAATTAGGGTTATATAAACAGTGAATGAGAATTAAATGCAAATGTGTTTTTCCGCCTAAAATTTATAACAGTAAAATTTCTTATTTTAAGGTAAATACTCCAGTGACATTTTATGTCAATTGACATTTAAAGTGAAATCCTTTATTCTAAACAGAGACATTTAATAGAATTCATATCTCAGATTATATAAAAACACATAGGACCAACTTATTCCTTTATTATTTATTAAACATACCTATTTCAAGCACTGATCAAAATTCAGCTAAAACACACTATTAGCCAGGTGTGGTGGCGCACACCTGTGATCCAGCATTCGGAAGGCTGAGGCAGGAGGATCGCTGTGAGTTTGAGATCAGCCTCAACTACAAGGAGACCCTGTCTCTAAAACAACATAGAAGTGGCACACAGGGTCACGGAAGTGACACACAGGAGACAGTTGCTTACAAAGGCCAAAGCCACACCATGACAAAAAAATAACTTGCCTACATACTTCAAAACATCATGCTCATGAACAACAAAGAAAAATTAAGGAACCGTTCAGATAAAGACGACTCGAGAGGCACGATAACTAATCCGGTGTGTGGTTCCCCCTGTGATCTTGACCACAGGGAACTCTGCTTCTCCTCTGCTAATAATCAGGCTGTCCTTGCCAGCTCCGGTGGCTCACGCCTGTAATCCCAAACCTCGGGGAGGCTGAGGCAGGAGGATGTCAGTTTAAGCTCAGCCTAGGCAACTCAGCAAGACCTTGTCTAAAAACAAAATCAATGGGAATACAGTCCAGCGTGAAGACTCTAGGTTCAACCCTGCTACTAAGAGAGGAAGATGGCGCTGTTAGGACAAACAAAAAACATGGTAACACTGCCTCAAAGTTGTATCTTGGTCTTGGTAATTAAACTGAGGCTACATTAGAAAGTGCTCTTGTATATGTAGGATTTCGCAGTGAAGTGCTTAAGGAAATACACCCCCAGTATTCTCCAGAGGCCTAAACCCAAGCGGGCGGGCACCACTCTACAAATGGCCATTTGGAGGTGAAGGGACTACGCTGGCACCAATGCTCTCAGGAAGTTCGGAAGAAAGGGGGGAGAACTGAGAAAGAAAAGAGGAAAGCGGGGGGGGGGGGTTGTACCAGAACTTGAACTCAGGACCTTGCGATTGCCAGCTAGGTGCTTGAGGCACTGAACTATATCACCAGCCCAAGAGCAAGAAAATAAATGTCGCACACTGTGAGCATTTACAAAATCTAGATAAAAGAATTCTCAATTCCTTCCACATTGCTTGCACATTTCTACAAATCTGAACTACTTCAAAATAAAAGTTTTTATTATAAATCACTAAAATTCAATCTGAAGAAAACCTGAAATTTTTACTTAAGTAAAGAAAGAAAAAAAAAAAAAAAAGAATTGCCAGGTACCGTGGTATGCTCACGTAGAATCCCAGCCCTGGGGGTTGAGGCAGGAGGGTGACCATGAGTTCAAGGCCAGCCTGAACTGCCCAGCAGACCCTACTGCAAAAAAGACGACAACCAAAAGCAAACAAAGAATTGTTCTGGCTAAAATAATGCACTTATTGGATAGGTGCTGACCTTGGCTGACAGAGAGGAAAGCCAGTGGGGTACAGGCTTCCTAGCGCTGACTTGGGCCTCACGTATCTTCTCCAGCTCTTTCGAGGATTCATAAGAGAGTATGTTATAGTGTCGATTTTATCAACAATGGATTAATGTTTCACTGATCAAACCGTGTGTGTCTTCTTTTATGTTAGAAGTCACGTCAACCAAGGAAGACACTCTGCTGGACTCGTCAGTCACTTCCGCCTCAAGCAGTTTACAGCCGAATGAGGAAGAGAGCACAGACGACAGCCGATGCAGTGCTGCACAGGAGCGGTACAGGGCTCCCCAGTGATAAGGGAAAGAACAGAGGGCTAAACCTATCTTTAGTTCAGCTCTGAATAACCGAAGTTCAACAACTGGGGCTTAAATCAGAAATTTAAGTTTCTTGCGCTATCAGGAAATGCAAGAAGTAATCTGCACCGAGCCGGCAGCTGCAGTGACTTCAGTTTGAACTTCAACTCCACGATGTTCCCCTTGGCCAAAAACGCATCAGGTCGTCTTCCAGTGCAAAGCATTCAACAAATGGCCATACGGCAGAGCCAGCAGAAACGCACACCCGACTTGCACGACACGCACGGTGCTGCTATCCTCGCTGGTGGAGCCGCCTTCTGTACTGCTGCGTGGACCTGCACAGCAACACAAATGGGATGGAAGGGAACCTGGCCCCTGCGGGCAGAGTCACCCCACGGAACGGAGACGTCAGGAAGCGTGCCCGCTGATGTGATACAGCGAAATTATTTCTAAATGAGATCATAATTGACGCCAAGTAAAAGCGCTGTGCACCCACTAAAATATGGCCTACGGAAGAAATAAAGCTCAACTGAAACCTTCATTAAAAGAAAAAAAAGGAAATACAGAGCAAAGCGGTGCCAGGCTGGAGGCTGTCCTCGACTGCTGGAGCCCTGCCTCCGCCTCTGCCTTGTCACGCGTGGCTTCGCCCCCTCTGCAGCTGCCTGGCGTGTGCACGCCATGGGGGGGCTTCAGCTGCTCCTTTTTCATAGGGGAACAGTGGCTTTCACGGAGGTGCCCACAGGAGACAGGTGCTTACAAAGGCCAAAGCGACACTGCAGGCGGCACAGCCACCCCTTCCCACTACAGGCACTTCTCCTCACTACCTAGCTGAGGGCTCACCCAGATCCAAATCCAGATCTCGGGCTGATGTGCCGGCCTTCCTACTGGGCCTATCTATGGCTTACACGTAGGTAACTACCAGATTTCAGTTAAAAAAAAAAAAAAAAAAAAAAAAAGAATAAAAAATTAAAATGACAAATGGGACCTATGTGACAGTCACTGACACAAGAGAACCCTAACTTCTAGGTAGGAAGAGCAAGGAATCCTTGCCTGGCCAGGACGCCTGGCCAGGATGATAGGGTTTTTTTTAGGTGGACACGAGTTTTTTAAGAAAGCTCTTCAGTAACAGCCTCTGCCGTTGGGGTTCTGCCCAACACCCCAAGCCTGGCCTTAATCGCGGTCACTGCTCAGAGAGTAGCAAGCGCGCTGCCCCGGGAGAGTGCGCCGACCGACTGCGTCTGGCATGCTGAGCTTGGAGCTCAGACACCTCTAGCTCGCACTTGAGTTCTGGCGGACAGGAGCAATTGGCATTTGCATCTCTGCAAGACTCTGAAGGGCCGGGGAGATAGCTCAGTAGAATAAGTGCTTTCCTGGTAAGTACAAGGTCCTGAGTTCAAGCCCCGGTACTGGGGGAAAAAAAAACTCTAAATTATGGGGTCCTCAATCCATTCAGCTTCAGGCTGAAGACAGAACAATGTCATTTTAAAAGTTAACAGCTCGCTCCATCTCTGCTTTGCAGGTGACCTGCTTAGTCTGTCCTTTTTCAGTACCTTGTTAAGCCAGGCAGCCGGCCAGCACACCCTGGAATTCTGGCTCTTGCGCTTACGCTGGAGCCCAGGTAGAGTCGGTCTGTGTTCTGAGAAGTCGTAAGAGGCCCTGGCCCTGTGTTCTGCCACCAGCCTGAAGCCTGTGCGTTCAGGGGCCTCCAGTCACACTGCCTTCCCCTCAGCTACCTGCACATTGAGATCGCTGAACCCTTTGTGCCTCACTGAACCACTTCTACTGGTTTAGTCACAAGTGACAGAAATGACAGGCTCATTATACAGAATAGGCACCTATCAACAGGTTATCTCTAACTTGGTGGAATTACTGTGAAGGCTGAAGAACGCCGCTGAAGACAAGCTCGGGAACAGTGACCGAGGCCACACCACGGCTGCAACAGGCCCAGCATTTGAAATGCTGCTCCCTCCGAGGCTTGGGACGAGCATGCCACCCTTCCTACTTCTGCTGCTGCCTTCAGGTGCTGCCGGCCACCCGGCTCCATCTCCCCAGCCGCCACACCAGTGCCACTGCTCCGAGAGGACCTGGTCCTGCTGAGGTGGCTCCAGCAGCACAGGGTGCCCCACGCAGGCCTCGCCCCTCAAATTCATTTCTGCACAGAGTGGGAGCTGCCCCACATCAAGTGCGCATGGCTGAGCCCAAAGGAACCCAAAGCCCCGAAGCTCCTGTATTCTATCTATCTCAGGGTTTAGAAGTCATGCTAGTGAAAACTCCCAAAGCAAAGCGGACTTTCACAGTTGCTATCAACCAGAAAGCCTACTGGCTACCCACGACCCTACTTTCACCCAACTGACCTGATCGAATGTTTCAGTATTCATTCTCAGCTAACACTTCCATTAGGCCGAAGTAGCACAGGTGTGCTGACACACCATATGTTATTTCCACTGCAATTTCATTTTATTGATTATGAAATCCCTGGCTTTGCCTTCTAATTAGATACCAAGTACAACATCATCAGCTTACTCAACTTGCCAAGTCTCTGCTACAGAACGGCAATGAGCCCATAGTTTACTACCTGTACGGTAAGCTCCTGAAAAGCCTTCTCTACTCCAGTCATATGAAATATTTTTAAAATAAATTTTAGCCAGGTATGGCGGCAGCACATGCCTAAATTTCAGCTATTCAAGGTTAAGGCAGAAGGATCACAAGTTTGAAGCAAGCCTGGGCAGCTTAGCAACTCTGCCTCAAAGTAAATAAAATTGAGCTTGGGCCTTAGCCTCAACCCCCAGTACCACCATAAAAGTATTAGGCCAAAAAACAAAAGCAAAAACAAAATACAAAACCAAAAAACATAGGGCCAGGAAGATGGCTCAGTAGAATAAGCACTTGCCTGGCAAGGGCAAGGTCCTGAGTTCAATCCCCA